AGCTCTGGGACGTCTCCGCCCTCCCCCATGTAAATCCTACTCCTCTCATTGAGGTCATCGATCTCGGGGCAGGGTGAGCCAGTACATGCCCCTCCTCGACACCGGGCCTGTCCCTGGACGGCCTGGTAACCCCCTCCCCGATCTAATCACTACACTTCCCACACCTCTAACCACTATCTCTAGTGACATCACCCATGATAAGTTTTACCAATCGTAAATTTGACACTAATATGACAATCTTACCGTAATACCACACAAGCCTACCTTACACATTCTCCCCATCTCCTAAATCCTTATTAAAAGCCCAACTTCAATTAAATTCCCCAATTGTACTTGTCGCCAAGTTCCCCACAATACATTTTGCAGACACATTACCATGCTGATGAAATGATGATGGACAAGTGAGGCAAAAAGTACATTGCAATGCATATTCTACTCTCATACCCCACAGTACCACACAGTGTGAGAACCACTGGCCTGTACAATGTTCCTAGAAACATCTACGGAATACTGTGTTCACAAGATTTCTGCCACAGCCTCCCTTTCTGCCTTCTGCTGCTACCTGGCAAAGTGGCTTCAGTTTGGGGATGATTTCTCTCAGGTGTATCAGGTGTAGATATTCATTCATACAGTGTTTTTGTGATGTGTTAATATGATCTGCCAAAGATCAAATAGATTAAACAGAGAAATAAGATCAAATAGAGTTATCCTCATCACAAGGTCATCTTCTGCAGTCACCCTTCCCTTGGCTGTCACTAAACGCAGTTCTGTCACGTTTGGTAAGATTTCTCCTAAAATCTGAACAGCTCCAGATCTTCACCCACGCAATGTGTCTGCAAAGTTTGGAAAATAATTTTTTGAGTTATCATGCGGACAAGATCATTTGTACCTGGGCATTATTGGAAGCTCAGCCTAGTAAAATGTGTCTACATTTTAGCTGATTCCTGAACAGCATGCATGGCAATGTGCTGTTTACCTCACTTTTATATCTGTTTGGACAAAAGTGTCTGCATGTAAATGTAATGTGAATGATTAAGAAGTTTAATATCATGTCTGATAATTTGTTCATTTATGGTCTCTGTCATAATGTTACTGTCCAGCACTTAAAGTTAGACTGTCACTCCTCTTTCGTCAGGGATGGATTTGTCAACTGATCAATTTTTCCAAGAGAAAATCAGATACACATAATAATGGCGATTGTGTCAGCGTGTTTTCCCAGTGGGCGTGAAACCCATCCACACTGCCTCCTGCCTTATGTCCTGTGTTTCCTGAGACAGACTCCAGGATTACTCTGAATATACAATGAATAAGTAGTCATGGAAAATGTACTGATTATAGAGTCCTATTTGGGCCTGAAATTAAAACCTGAGCCCAGCCTGTACCCGAAACCTTGAGACCGAACCTAACTAATCTGAACCTAACCTGTGTTTGAAGTTGGACATAAAAAACTAATCCGTACCCAGCCGAAAACCCGGTTTGTCAGATCTGTCGGGCTCTTGGATCACATACCTCTATTTCATAAGTTATACAAGTATTTTGCACATAAGAAATTTGCCCATCCTTCATAATTTACTATAGTAAATACAATTATCGTCTTAAAAATCATGTATGTTAAAATTTAATGATCAGATAGGCTACTAAGTGTCACGCCCGGCTCGTACGATCCTCGTGTGTGCCACGCCCCCTCATTACCTACGCGTGCTACCCCGATTGTGATCACCTGTTGCCTGTTATTTTCTGCTTGTCTTATGTATTTAGTCCGCGTCTGAGTTAGTTTTCCCCAGATCGGTCATTGATGTTTGTCGCTGTCTGCCCTGTCCGTGTCAATAAACCCCTATTCCTGACTTCACAGCTTCGCTGCCTTCCTGTCCGCTGGGCGGACGTAACACTAAGAATCTACCTGAAACTTTGATGAATGTACAGGCTGGGAACCTATTACTGTGCACATATAAAACAATGCTTTTTACAATTCTATATGCTATGGGAGAGTGGTAAAAAAATCACCACTAAAAAATACCCAAGCTGACTCTCATTTGAGGTATGCAACACAACAAAAACCTCCTCAGCTGACACAATCAGAGCCTGGATCCAAATCTAATTGAAAATTTGTTAAACGACCTCAAGATTGCAGCATGTCAATGGCCTTTTCACATCTGATTGTCTTTCTAAGAAGAATGTGCAAACAGTGCCAAATTGAGGTGGGATATGTTCGTACAAACCTATCCAAATAAAATTATTGCTGGTGAGTGAAACATTTTACCATCAAATACTGAGTCTGAACATTTCATTTTTACCCTACATACTAGAAAATACAGTGTACAACTGGCGGTTTACAATATTTGCAATATAACTCATTTTTTGTTATGTAATGTAATGAGATGATCCACTGCGAATCCACTGTGCACAAATGACCATCAGCTGCTTGATGTTGCCAAGGAGCCCAGGAGCAACAACCTTCAACATATTGCACTGCAAAACTGTGAAGGCAGAAAATGTTGGATATCAGTGCTATGTAAGTCAGTCAGTGAGCTTGGCTGAGGGCCATACCACCCAAATACTGGTATACAAGACCACAGTGTGACATGCAAACAGCAAGTAACGAGGGTGAGGTTTCATCATACTTAAAGTGCAAAAACACAGGATATTGCAAAACGGGGGCTAGACACAAGGGTTCATATACTTTTAGCATAATACCTTATAAGTCCCAGATACATCAACCTATTCCCAACACATTTCGGTATTAATTCAGTGACTTACAATCTTTGCCTACCATCTCTTAAGATCAACCCATCCTTGCATGTCTCCTTGTATTATCACACTCCAGTCGTATCACCGACTTCCCATAAGACAAAACATTCATGAAAACATCCAAAGAGGTTAATGATGGAGAATGTACATCTGGAAACAGTGGGTGCTTGGGCCTTCAAAAGCATTCCTTTGATCGAGGAAGATGGACATAAGTCTGGTATAATAAAACACTTCAGTAGTACATGGTATCTGACTGCTATTGCTAGCTAGTGTCTGTTTCACAAGAAAGTAGTGAAATATTAAAACTAGTGTAAATAACTGTAATGTAACTAAATGTTTTCCACCCCATCTTTTATGCCACCTAACCAAATGGTGACCCCGGGCATTGCCAATTGTCACCTGTAGGGTGGGCCAGCCCTGGAAGGAATAGATTGTTAGTCCATTAATTATGCATTGTTATTAACAATCCCTTGCTTTTGGAGAGAATTGCAACAATGATAAGGATAATGTTTAGGTACACAGATACACACAAATAAGCACAAATCTGTCTGTCAGCATTAATAAGTTCAAAATGCCATAAAAACTTTCTGCATTTGGAAGCCGGTATGCAAAACCAAGTGTTTGCTTGGATGCCTTTCACTCCCAGTGGAGGTCGCTCTTTTCTTCTCACCAGATCGAGGATTAGAAAGGCTTCTCTTCATTGTGATGAGCATCACGTTGTCTCTGCAATACCAAAGTAAACAAAATATTCCTATCCTCCAATATGGGCAAATAGCCCATGCCATACGGGAAGCATTAGGTTGGCATTCCTGCAGGTGCTAAATGCAGTCCAAATATTTAATGAGCTTCTTTTTTTAGTTTTACTGCTGTACTTGGCACCAAACTACTGACTAGAACTGGTGGACATTATAGTAAATTATAGGTGTGGTACCCATGACAGATGGGGATTGACCAAAGCAAAGAATGGAAAGTGAATTCAGATGATATGTGCGAACTAGGCAAATCCCTAGACCCTCACCTAGACCTGATGATTGGTCTGGTTTCCTGTTTCCATATAAATGAAGCTGAAATGTATTTTTCTCCCATCTACCATTTCGTTAAAGCAATATCTACCTCCTGCACACAAATAAAGGCTTTATTTTACTGCTCGACCACCCCCCCTCCCAAGGACTCGATTTTGGCATTTAGTCTGGAGCAAGTATTCAAAGATCAGGGCCAAAAAAGAGGTGTTTTGTGGCACAACAGGCAGGAATGTGGTGATGAAGACCAGCACAACTTTCCCATGTTCCATGAGGTAAAGATCATGAACTATGGACAAAAGGATACTCATCAGCGGTTTGACTATGAAGAAAAACTGTATTTCAAAGGAACGATGTGTAAAAAAAGAAAACAACTGAATCGGTTAAGTAGTCATTTCAATCTAGGGTGTGTGCAAGCAGTTTTCAACAAGTCCAGTCCAACCAGAACTTCACAAAAAAAGTCTCCTTCCATAGGAATGGGGAGGTTATGAGATCTCATACGAGATTCTGCAGCAGTTCATGAGGCATGCAGCAGTTTTTCATCACCAGAAAAACGTCTGAATATATTTAGATCGCTTCAAGTAATTCTGTGTAATAGGCCCTTCGAAGCTGTTCTGAAGGCTTTCAAATGCAAGTGTTTATGTTATTTTTTAATGCTGGAAGTTAGTTGTCGTAAATTTTGTACAAAAAAAAACATATACGCCAAAAATATTAACCATTCATCCTGATCAAGATAAGTAGTTCCTTAATGGATGGACTGAGGGGGATTATAAATTCGTGATCACCGTATCGTCATTGTAACGGTTATTTCAACATATTGCAACACAATAGGTTTTGCAATATTAAGTAGCACCTTTATAACATACTATTATACCATGATGTAAACAGTATTGTTAGTGAATTCAAAATATGCACAATTTAAATTTCATTAAATATAAAACATCATGCAGTACGTAATACGTTATCAAATACAAGAATACAAAGCCTATCGCAGCGATTTCTAAATTCCACTTTTACTGCGTTTCCCATCAACGCTTTCGCTTTACGTGGTGGGCAGGCACTTCCAACACAGCCCACCTATCACCATTATCGCTACGCCCATTCTTAGCTTCGTTTTAGCCTAAAACCGTTTTTCTTCTGCACCTGACCAATCGCAACTAAATATACTCAGAACATAGACGTTGGTTTGGTGTTTGACGCTTAACATATCAACTTTCCTCTTGCTGATTGGACAATGTTTTACTTGCGGCACGATGATGTTTCCTGGCAAGTGAAAGACGGTGGGAGGGGGGATTCGAATGGCAGGCATCGGTAACAGAGATGTGTCTGTCGAGTCTGATATAAATTAGTTAAAAATTGCAACAACAGAGAATCGGAAGTGGACTCGATGTCGGAGGCCTCGTAGGGGTATTCGAGTGGGTAGCGCCCATCTTTGTTTAAACAGTGTCCGTTTCTTTTAGTGCGAGCAATCTGATAAGGCCCATTTGGATGCGAGCAGAAAGAAGCGGCCGCCTCGGAGTTTAAGGTAGGGTGAGTGTCTCGGCGTATGCGAAGTAAGTGGAGCAGTATTGTTTTTGGCGTTGCATTTTCCGGGAGCCCCGTGTGAGCCCGGAAAAATGGTTATTTAGTTTAACAGCAATGAGTTTCAGAATATGTGTAACTAAACGTCGAGTCAAAATAAGTGGCTGTCAGGCCTAGCTAGCCTGTATCACTGATAGCATGGTAGCTAGCTTCCCAGCTATTTATTAAACATGCTAACCGTCTCACAGCCATTTAGAACAGTTACGTAAAACACGGTTAAAGTCATTCTGCATGTTCGTCTTCCTAATGATTTTGTAACTCAAGTACGTGGTGCTGTTTAAATGTATTTATTTATTATTTTCTGGGTAGTTAGGTGGTGTATTACCACGGAACGCTATTGATTGCGTGACTACATATCTAGCCTGTTATTGATAATCACCGTGGGTCGTTCATTTTGATGAAAAACACTGACATTTTCTGTACTGCGCACTGTATGCTGCATTGTCACTGTAGGCAGAAATGGAAGATGGTAGGCAGTTGGTTGGATGGAGGTTATTTATATAGATCAGCATAGCTCCTTATAGAAGAGATAGTAGCTGACTTAAAGCTCCACTGATTAAAAAAAATAACAAAAGCGTTCGCTGCTTTGTAATACTTTGTGCTGTCAAGCGACTACAACGATTCATATGGGAAAACGTGCCGTACTGTAGTTTTCTCCTTATTGACTGCATTAAACAGGCATTTGTATTGTTTCATTTTTTTTTTATATGTGAAGCTGGGAAATGTTCTACCGAGAGCCACATACAAGATTTCTCGAGCACTTCTCTTGAACCTTTTTAAAGGACTGCAATTTTATAAAGGATGGCACTATTACTTAATCAGACGTGTGTGTATATAACGTGGGCAAAATTGTAGGGCAGTTTTAAGGTAAAAGACTACTTGAAAGAAACAATAACACACATTTTTGTACCGATGATATGTTGCAGAATATTAGTAAATGAACTGAATGAACTAAGCAATGAGTGAACTGATCGCATGAAACCTTTCATTCAGATTTCAAATGTATATGCGATTGCTGACCAAATCTGGAATGGGGAGGGGACTTGGGCTGCTTTAAATTCATAACTTTGTGAATAGACTTCTAGGCTTACCCTACTAAACTGTGAAAATTCTACTTTAATATTTCACAGTAATCTAATTCATGTTCAGTTTGTTAAACTGCATTAATCCAATTGCATGGCTAACGTTTTCAGCGCTGAATACTGAGTAGTAAACTTACTGTGTTTCAAATATAATTCGTATATTTATTTTTTTGTAATGTCATAATATAAAATAATTTGGTTTAATTTTGCATATTTTTAAGAGGATACTTCCACCAGCAATGGTAACTAGGTCTTCAAAGTGTATGAAAATGATTTATCACCATGCAGACTAAAACCTTTATTGTGTTCAGGGAAAAATCCCAAGGTGACTTTTTCCTAATATTTTAGTGAAAATGGTCATAATTTTTCTCATCGATGTTCGTGCTGAATGCACATATTTCTAATTTTCATTGTAAGTTTTCAAAACGATGCTCTTTTATTGTAAAGGTTCTCCATGTTTTTTCACAAGCGAAGGTATTGTCAAGCTCAAAAAGTAAAAGAAAAAAATTGCCATTAAAATACAGTAGTATAAAGAAGTATAACTTTCTTGTGATATCCCTTTAATGCTTTGCAAATGTTTGTATTTTTAAATACAGCTCTCATGGTATGATACAACAAAGTGATAAACCTGTAGGTTTATAATGTATTATGTGTGAAAAGTAATTATAGCATGATGTTGAAATACTGCAATTTCTAAATTTATGAATTTATATTGTTCTGTTCTGTCCAGGGAATATGTAACAGAAATTACAATGACATCGAGATTTGGGAAAACTTACAGTCGAAAGGGTGGGGATGGAAATTCGAAATTCGACGAGGTCCTGTCCAACAAAAGGGCCACTCTCAGCACCAAATGGGGCGAAACAACTTTCAAGGCTCAGCTGGGCTCCAAGCGTCCGAATCTCAAGCCCGATTTGACAGATACCCCAAAGAAAGCCAGGCCCAGTGAGGAAGAAGATACCGAGGACCCTTTTGGTTTTGACAGCGATGATGAGTCCAAACCTGTGACCTCACGCAGTTTTCCTTCAGCCAAGCCTCCCCAAAGCAAACTGGTACCAGCTGAACCAGCTCGAGCAGAAAGGCCAGTGCTTCAGCAGGAGTACAACAGCCATGTAAATATATCCGATTCCTTTGACCCAGGTGTCCTGTCCTCTACTCAAAATGATAACAAGAATGCATACAGTGTTTCTGTGGACTTCAGCAGCAAGGTCTTCAACAACGCACCTACAGGTATGGACTTTCTACAATAGGTTTTGGGTAGAGAGGTTTCCCGACCGTTAAATAAGTTTCAACCTTTTGTTCCATAGTTGAACAGCTGTTTATTCTTTCCTAACAGTTGGATAATTTATTTCCCCCCCCCCCAAATGATCGATTACAGTGAGCAATTCTAGCGTGTTGTCATTTACTTGCCTGGTTTCTGTTTGCTAAGTGCATGAGTATGTACATGCAAATGTGTATCTAATATAGATACAATATGTAACATGCATATACATCTACTGAAGTACAGTAGCTAGCTAAATTTGAAGAAATACAAGAAATTAAAAAATTCTAAAACCAAAAAATGTTCATTGCTCCCAACAGTAACATTGTATCTTTAGACAGGTGAACAAGTCAGTCAAGGTTTTGCAATGTTAAATGAATAAATGAATTTTACGTACATTTTATTTATTTTGTTTAATGAATTGCTAATCTCTTCAGGTGCGATGACGGCATTAAAGTTGTACAAATATTTGTAGTAATGGATCGAGCTCCCTTCCTTTGTTTGACTGCTAAGGTGGAGGTGTCTGGCGGCATTTTCCGAGGCATCTTTGAGTTTATTGTATATTTTTGCTTGTTGTAGACTTACTATCGTTGGGATCTGGTGTGTGTACTTTGAAAGCAGTTGTCCAACATTTATTGCATTTTGAATATTTCTAAATCTAAAATGCATTGTTAATATTAGAGGTGGGCGATAAATCGATTTTATCGATTAATTCGAATTTACAGTTCAGGACGATGTGTTTTTATGAAAATCGATTTTATTACTTATTTTACACGCGAGCGCCAAAAGCGGAACTAATGCGACGCACCGTTCTTCATGGGTACATTAGCGCGGCGCACCCAGACACTGTAGCGGATTCACAAACAACATGGCAATTATTCGGTTTTGCGCCCAACAAAACAAATCCTCTTTACAAAGTCTGTTTAAAAACTGTTGCAACCAATGGAAGCAGCATGACAAATTTATTCCAGCACCTAAAGCAGAGGCACACAGCGGAGTGGGAGAAGTGCAGCTCCCAGTGAAATGAATACCCGCAGCACCAGCACAACATCCGAAGTTAAGCAAGCAACCATCCCTGACACGTTTTCGAACTGTGTGTCATATGATAATAATGGGGCACGGTGGAAGGCGATAACAGACGCTGTCGCGATGTATATTGCAAAAGACATGGTGCCCATACATACTGTGGAAAAGCAGGGATTCATTAACATGCTAAAAGTTTTTACAAGTTTCTAAAAGTGTTTACAATGGCGTGGTGTGCCATCTTACTTAAAAGCATCTTTTTTGGCTTGTCAGATTGCACTTTAAAGTAAAATAAATAAATAAAGTTTAAACTTGTTTTGAACCATTTATTTGTCATCTGTAGTTTGATTTTGAGTAGGGGAGGGGAAAATCGATTAAAATTGAAAATCGGATTTATTGTGAAAAAAATCTGAGATTTTATTTTTAGGCCATATTGCCCAGCTCTAGTTAATTCTATTTCCAACCAAGTTCAAATCACCCCAAATACGTTTTTAAGGCATGACTGATTTTAGTATTATATTTAGTATTTATATTTTTATATTAAAACAGCTTGCTTTGCTCAATCAGAGGAAATATGTATCAAACATATGCATACTTACTGGAGACAAGTAAACTGAAGAACTGGAAAATGTTACAAATTAGTGTGTTTGCCCTTAGCTTTAATATTCCACCAACCTTTTGGCGGGTCTGGATTTTCTTAAGATTTTCAATCGTTCCTTTCTTGAATTTATAAAATCTTTTATGCTGTTGTTATTGTGCATCATTAGTAACTTAAGTCTTTGCAAAGATCAATAATTGGCATTTAGTAGTTTAGCATTTCTTAAACGTAATCAGTGATGTCATGTTGCTTGTTTTTCACTATTTTGTTAATTATACACAAACCTACAGATATATACATATATATCATTATTTTTGGAAGTTTGAAGAACAGATACTTCAAGTGAGCATATCCAGATCTGTATACCCCTCCACTATTTAGTTAGACAACAAGACATGCGAAGAATGTAAACACAAATAACACTGCTGTCGTGCCAAAATTTCCAAACAAAGTGACGTAGGCGGCAGTGGCATTTTAAGCCTAAGAACTTGGTCTTAAAGTGTGCAGCCTCTTCCGTAATAAGCTATGTGGCTACACTGAGTCGGTAATGTTCATGAGCTTGGATTTTATAAAACTAGTATTACTGTGGATGCATAATTAAATGCCAGCAGTCTTACCTTTATGCCTTCTAAAATTAAATAGGAAATGAGCGTGAGAAATGGTGAGTCTGGTTAATGGCTTTAACGTAATTAGACGTATAACATTGTTGTATGGTTTATGCATTTTCCCCCCTCTTCTGCTGATTACAGAACAGCAATTTAATGTATCTGATGTTCTGGGGTAATGCAACCTAAAAAGACTGAGCAAATTAATTTACTGTAGCCTATAATATACTTACCTTGAGATTACAGACAAAGACTCCCATTTTTGCAGCCAGGTTTTTCATTTTCTTTCTCCCAAAGTGAAATAATTTTGGTATTGTCATTTCAATTTTACTGTTTGATTGTCAGCTGGTGTGTGTGTGTGTGTGTGTGTGTGTGTGTGTGCCCTGCAATGGGTTGGCGCCCCATCCTGGGTTGTTCCCTGCCATGAGCCCATAGCTTCCGGGATAGGCTCCGGACCCGCTGTGACCCTGAATGGGACAAGTGGTTTTAGAAAATGGATGGGTGTTTGATTATCTATGTGTCAATGCGATTTGGAAAAGGAACTCACTATAGTTGTATACAGGGCTGCACTGGCCATCTGGCTTGCTGGGATTCCCGTCGGTCGGCTGATGGGTATGTCGCTCAGTAAAACATATCACTCAGGAAAGCTTATCATGGGGTTTCCCCTGCTTGGCAAAATTTACTTTGAGACCTTGGAGAAGTCCAGGGCTGATTTTGAATCACAGTCCAACCCTACTTGCATATTATGTAAAACGTTGCCACTTTGCTGATGCAGAGTATGGTGTGTCTATGGTTTTTATGGTGCTTTGTGGCACAAACCTTTTGGATCTTGATTCTCAATATCATGGGTTAGGGAGACCACAGGAGGTATTTTGATAGTAGGTTATACCGCTTGCTCTCCCAAGTCTCTATTCCCTGCAGCTGAGCGGCTTCTCAACATGCACCACACTTTGTCTGCTTCTGACAGTTTGGTATCTGGAAAGAATCATGTTCTTGCAGCCTGTTCTGCTGAAGTGTTTATATAAACCTATACTGGCTCTGTTATTGCAACTTCCATAACTCACCCTAACCTGGTGTAGATGTACTGAGGTTTTATTGAATTATGACAGATTTCACCGATGACTAAAATTTAATATATATAGTTCACTGTTATGAATAAAGGACATTTCTTTTTTTGGATAGTTTGTAGACATCTCAAGTATTAAATTTCTTCTTTTTCTTCCCTAAAGACAAGGCAGTGCACACATGGTCCTATGAAGGTACGGAGAAGCAAACCAACACATGGTACAAAAATGCTTCAGAAAAGGGGAAGAAAGCAGTGCTGCAGTCCCCTAGTTTAAAGATGGACACCAAGAACACTCTGGAGAGCTGGAACTCTGCAGGAGGTGATTTGAGGCCAGCCCTCCCTGGCATTGAGACTTTTAAAGGCAGTGACTCAATGTGGTTGACCAGTTATTGGCAGGAAGATGACAAAGGGCACGCTGAGGAAGAAGTGCCCTCTTATGTGGAGGGGAACACAAATAGCAATGAGTTCAGCCAGGAGGAAGTTGGCTTACCTGCAGGAAACTCAGAGTCTGAAGACCTCACCCAGTCTCTTCTCAGGCCCAACAACTGCCGAACGTATCGGCGGCCCAACAAATGTCAACAGGCAGCAGGTACGGGGAACGGCAGCGGTAACTTACCTCATGGCACGGGGGGCCAGGAGCTTCCAAAAGCCGGCTGCGGGACCGGCACGGCGGACGGCAAATCTGGTGCCAGGGGTCGGATGAGAGACTACACTGTGCTCCACCCATCCTGCCTGTCGGTGTGCAATGTCACCATCCAGGATGCTTTGGACCGGAGCATAGAGGAGTTCACTGCTGCTCCAGCTGACCTTGGGGAGGCAGGCAGGCTCAGGAAAAAAACAGAAATGGCCACGGCCAAACCTACCAGGTGACCTTTCCATATGCCACAATGACACATCTCTTGTGACGCTACTTTCCTTTTCCACAACAATGACACAAACCTACTTAACGTGCCGTCTACCAAAACAAACATTTTAGTAAGGCAAGAATATTAAGGATATCTTGCTATAACTCATGAGCTGCCTTTGGTGAAGGTGTCAACCGAAAAAAAAAAAAAGCATTGTAGAATCATGGAGAAGGTGTGGATGCTTTTGAGGGAGGTTAAGGTTTGGTAAACAGGCTTTTCTGTGGTCTCCTGTATTTAATCGTATGAAGGATACAGCAAATTTGCTCTTTGTTAGAGAGGAAGGAGACAGGGAGCAGTGATCATCTAAACCATTGTCGGTTTAGAAAATTAGAGAGCAGAATTGTTTTGTACCTTGTGTGGTACACCTTCCCAAAATATCCCGGGGATCCTATTGAAATCACCCCATTCGACCCCCACCCCACAGTGCTTGTGTCATGTGCATCTGTTAACTCTCTGAAGAACCAGGTTTTTAACTCATTTTGTTTTTAAATAAGTAATTGCATGGTCAGTTAATCCATGTTTTTATGGGATTTTAAATTGATTTTTAGCAGGTTTTACATTTCTACTGAGTGAGGTTTTTAGATTTTTAAATTTTTACTGCAGTATAATTTCAGTTTGGTAAGGAATTGATAGCATTCTATAATCTTTAACCACTGAAATGTACTAGGGTTAACTATTGCTCTCAGCTTATAAGTCTGTCCCATGTTAATTACAGGTTCAGGCCCTCTCAAGCGAAATCCAAAAAAGAGAGCAAGCTGGAGTTCTTTGGATTCGAGGAGAATGAGGGCCAGGCGGTGGAAGGAGATCCTATGTCCTCTGGGAGCAGCAACTACAAGATCAAGTACTTTGGTTTTGACGACCTGAGCGAGAGCGAGAGCGACAGCGACGAGGACGACGAGGCCGCAGAGAAGAGGAAGGCGAAGAAGGCGAGGGCAGCAGCGGCGGCGGCGGCGGCGGCCGCCGGAGCATCCGGCGTAGCGGCGAGTGTGACCCTGTCAGCTGCTGTACACAGTCCACAGCCTGGTGATTCCCAGGCCTACCGGACAGGTCAGGCTGTGCTTTGGCTGCGTTGGCTACACCAGCACAGTTTGTGTTATGTAGCTTTTACTGTGTGTGTTTGCCTGTGAATCGTTCTTGATTTGGGGCATTTTCTGGCCCCAGGGCGCAATGCCTCATGGGGGGGAAAAGATCTGTGTTGTCATCAAGTTCTTTGGAAAGGGGAATAAAACTCTAATAAGGGTTACTTTTGCTACCTGGGGCCTTAATTGCAGCATTGATTAATCATTAACTGTGTCATACCTTCCAGATAATGTGGAATTCTTAGTTGACTCCTGCCCTGCTGCACTAGAGGCACCAAAGAAACCACAGGGAAAGCAGCTGGAGAAATCGAAAGACTGCCGGAGGATTTTCAGTGGCCCCAAAAAGGTACGGTTCATGTCGCCCCGAGATGTTTTCTGCGTTCCTTTTCACTGCATTACCTTGTTCTCAGCTGGCCCTGTGCTTTGGCAAGCTGTAGTGCTTAAACGAAATATTTCAAATGCATGAAATAAGCTGGCAAATAACAGTTGTATTTATAGCCATTTAAAAATGCGCTTGGGAAAGTTTAAAAAAATAAAAAATAAAATAAAATACCACAATACCGTTCGCCGTTGGGCTGAGCAAAAACTTTTAAAGCATTGCAGTTTCAAGGCATTTTTAATCCCTGTGTATGCCTAGCTTTTTCAGCCAGGTGTTAGAGCTGCCCTTTGCTAAAATGCGGTCCGGGACCATGGGTGATTTGGCTCTTGCACCTCCTAATCTGTCACGGATTGTGCTTCTCCCATATGTTAAGCAGAATAAGAACAAGAAACATTACTGCCAAAGTCTCGCTTTGTTCTCCTAATGCACCTTATCAGCCTTTGAGCTATGAACAGGACGACGACAATTTATCACTTTTTTGTGATTTGTTGTTTCTCTAGGTAGATAATCCAGCTGTCCCAAATCTTAAAATGGCTAACCTCCATTTCATATAGGTTCCATAAATTTATATTTTGTATGTATACTAATGGAAGAAGAATGGATGAATGCTATATTTTATGGTGGTTTAACTTTGAAAATGATTAGACTGAATTTCCATTGCAGTAAGCATGTCTGTGTGATTCATGTTCTTGTGTGTAGGTAACACTGGCTTGTCTATTCATCCTCGTTGTAGTGACATTTATATTAGCTCTTTAGAGCTGGGAAGCTTTATTTCAGACTTACAGTAAATATCGTCGGAATATAGAATGAACTGGGGGAGGAGTGTAAACTGCCATCTTTCGCCATACTGCTTAATGCTACAATCTTGCATATGATTATATTTTTAGACCTTTTGTGTTCATGATCATTGTGGTTGGCTGGTTTATTTTCTGTGGAAAATAACAAATGTTCTGAAATGAATCGTGATGTGAATTACAATCTTCACAGAAGATGAAAAGAACACGTCATGGTGGGCTTACTAGTTTTTCATTCCTTAAATTTCCTGAATTGTTTATTTTTTCTGAAACACTTGTTTTATATTTTCTTAATTGTTCAAATGCCATTGTGGTCTGGGCTTTTTCTTTGGCCAAGTTGTATTGTCACTTGTTTACAGGATTAAGTTAAATCCCAAATTGTTTCATGCTTTGTTCTGAGCTCAATCCTTGTTTTACTGTTTTTAATGATTTTTCAAAATGTAAGTTTATGGTGTATCCATTCCATTCCTTTGTGCTCTTTCACATAAACCAAATTAATATTCTATTTGTTTATGTAAAATGTGAATCTTTCACAGGCATAAAATTTCAAATGGTCACTTTAGGATGTTTTGTTCTGGCGAATTGTGATTGAAAGTTTTTCTTCTTCATTCCTGGCTCAGTCTGTCTAATGATTGTTGTTATTGTTGCTGTTCTTGTTATTAGTGTTATTCTAATAGTCTCGCCCTATTTGCATGAGGAGTATGTATGTATACATGCACTGATGATGAAACAATCCCTTTAGCTGTGTTGTTAACGTATTCCAAAAATGAAGCAGTCTGTAGCTGATAATGTTAAAAAAGTATTTTGCAAATTTAATATTGAGTCTTGAGTCACTGTCAATATTTCATCAGTACAAAAACTAGGGTATGCAATTTACATCAGGAAAATGATTCATCAGCATGCAAGGTTACCGATTGATTAATTGATTAATACCATGCTGCTCCAAAAAGAAGGTGCGGCCAAGTCATGCTGGAGCGGCCAAGTATGTTGCTAGCACAAGTGCTACCACTGGAAAAGTTTGTCTGGAGCCCTAATCAGACTGGGCAGATGGCTGGATGTTACTGATTTGTGCTTGGGTGAGGCGTGGCTCCCACCTTCCTCCAGAAGCATGTTTGGTGTCTCCTGCAGAAAGAGTGGAGAGACTGAAAGGCGTCACTGGTTAATGAATGTTTTAGGTTCCTTTAGTAATTGCTTTTTAAAATAACTGACCATCCATCCATATTTCGTCCAGTAATAAGGCCACAGAGGGTCAGATGGAGCCTGTCCTTTGTTGTTGTTTTTGGATGGTTGGTTGATTGGTTAGTTAGTTGTACATGGGTGACATATTGGCTTGGGGTGTAGAACTATCTTCACACCTTGGGGGTTATGCATTCAATTCCCATTTTTGGCACTCCATGTGGGGAGTTCTCACTGTTTCTGTGAGTTTACTGCGGTTACTCAGATTTCCCCTGAAAGTTCAAAAACAATGTTAGCTTAACTGACCTGTCTGTATTTCCACTGTGTGTTGTGTGTATGGCTGAGTGCCCTGTGATAGAGAAGTATCCCATCTAGAGAACCCCCCCACCTCATGCCCTGTGCATTAGGCTTCAGGCTTACCGTTACTCTGTAATAGATAAGCACTTATGCAGTTCTTGTTAATATTAACGATGAAAGACGGTGAATTCGTTTTCGCTGTTTTCAGTCTTTGTCTTATCAATTTATTTAAAATTTGACTGTTTGTATAACTATAACTTTCAGGTAAATCATCTGTTGGGGAATGTAGTTTACCTTGGTAAAGTAATGGACCGTTGGAAATTTACATACTAGAAATTTGTATATGAAGAGCAGCTATAATTGCCAAAGAGCATCCCTGTGAAATGATACTTGCTTAGCTGGATTTGTCAAACTTTTTTAACAAGTTGTTGGTTCAGATTTTTGTACTCAGGATGACCTTTGCATTAGAGGAGATGTAGTAGTTTCTTTTTCTACTAAAGCAATTAGGCAGTTAACCTTAGTCATTGCTTATCATTGAATAAGCTTTTTGGGTGCTCCCTGCTGTCTAATACTTTGTGTCCTTATATTATGAGGGTATTATTAGGGGTGTAAATCACAGCTTTCCTCACAATACAATATTGATTCCTTAAGCCAACAATTCGTATTTTTTTTTGATACCTCAGAAATTCCCACAATATAATACGATACGATTCAGTTTGATACTGGGGATTGCACTCAAAATGATGAAATTTCACACAATCCTTTACATTTCAATGGATTAAAAAAGGCAAATATAATTAGCATTTT